GGCAGAAGCACAGCCAATAAATAAACAAACAAACAAACAAACAAACAAATAAATAAATAAATAAATAAATAAGAATAGTTTCGGGACTCACTTTTCTTCAATAATATTTTCAAAATCACAGGTGTTTAGCAACAACCCAGATGTTATCACATTAAAATAGGTTTGAAATTCAAATACAACAAACACCAAGTTTCCCAGTGTTGCTCCAAGAAATCCAGTTTTTCTGAATTTTAAAAGACTGTTCGTATAAATACAACAGAGGCTCACAGTCACTGCTCAGACGTCTATAAATGGCTCAAACGGCTCTGTAGAAAAATACACTGACGACAACACATAACAAATGTCCCTTGTGATTTTATGAGGTGTGTCTTATGGAGCAATTTCAAAATTATGTCCCTTTGATAATTATATGCTTCTAATGGTAATGATGTTTTCACAGTTCACTGCGAAACCTGAAAATAGATTTCTAAAAGATAACTAAGTCTCTTATCTCCTCCCTTTTCCACCTGTTGCTGCAGGTAATATTACACTGTGCAGTTACAAAACTTGAACCCAACAAAGGGGCCAGGTCTGATTTCCATTTTCTAAAGGATGGGTTACTTTTTTGTACAGACTTTAAGATTTCTATTTTTACAGAGTCATATTTCTGAGATATCTAATTAATATAGCATATTAGGCAAAGCCATGTTGCGATTTATCGAAGATTTACTAATGCTGTCTAAAACTGTATTCATAACTTGACATTGCATTGTTGTCACTTTTTGGTGCTGTAAAACACTTTTGCCTTTTCTGCTTGGCTTCCGTGTTGAATGTAAAACCAGGAACAGCACTTGCACAAACTCAAATTTTTTGTTTTATTTCTGACAATTACACAAGACAAAGGCGCAATTGTGATCTAGATCTTGTGAAGAAATGTGGTGAAAATGTTCTTTGTTGTCCACCTGAAATCTGATGCTAAGTTGTGAAATGGTTAAACCCTTCTGTTCTCTGTGGACGTCATTACATATCCCTCCATTCAAACGTGTGCTCTGCCTTTACTGCAGCGTGTGTATGATTGTGTAATGCTGACTATGTGATGAACGCACACCTTAAGCAAATGAATACAAACTAAATCAAATCAAATCATATTTTATTTGTATAG